CCCCCCCCCCCGTCGCTGGCAATGACTTTGTAAAACAAGCCGATCACTTCGTGATCTCGGCAACCAGATTACCGCTTGTTTTTTCTTCCTTCGCTTTTTTTTTGCGGCAGCCATAATGGTGGTCGAGTAGATTGTGTTGTGCGGGGTGGAGAACCCTCACTCCGCGCAAAGGGGATGATCGCACCACGTTGTGTCAAATTGGTCAAGCACCCTCGAGGCAGCTACACAGCAGTGCTTATAACTGTCTCCGGAAGTGAAAGCAACAGAAAATAAAACAAGTCATACGCAGCTGTCATCCGTACGCAAGGAAGTTAGCACAAGATGCCGAACACCCTTAGCAGGATGCAGCGCACCCTTCATGCGACTCGCCAAATACCTAACGGTACCTCGCGCTTGGTGATGTGAGAGCCTGGTTCGGTGAGAAACCGGCGTGCTCCGTCCCGGCTTTGTAGAGATGCGAGGTCAATGGTCAAACGACTGCGGCATGCACAACTACGAGTACCCCCCCCCCCCGTGCCTTACCTGTAGGATGCCTAGTCGGTAAGCCTTGTCGGCCTCAACCAGATCCCCTGCCAGCATCAAAGCCTTGCCCATGCGCGGGTACGCCTAAGACCGCCGTTAGGTCCGTCGAAGCAACCAAACAAGCGGGCGAAGGGTAGGGGGTACGGGATACGAACGAAAAATCCATGAGGTGGGGGCGTGGGGGTATCACAGGCAGGGGGATTTCAACGGTTTGGGTCAGCATCACTCAGGAAACCAATCGGAACGAGGCCAACAAGCGTATTTTGATGATGTGATTGATGTCTCTTCCTTCCTCCAGTTGCCACATGCGTCAGCGAGAAGCTACTGTCACAAAAGGCATTCTTCACTTCTCTTGCCATCTGTCATGTGGCACGAACGCCGGAATCACGGGGCGACGAAGACACAAAAATCAACTACTACCAGCGAATCACTCCGTCGACAGCTCGTCCCACACACACCGCACAACACGGTCTGCTCGTCAAATCAAATCAGCCGCTGAGCTGTACACAGCACCAGGTGCATCTGAGCCAAACTCACGAACACGGAGAGAGCATAACATGTACGGCATCACACGAACAGCCGCTACAAACAGTAGTGGCGCGAAGATTCCCCAAGGCATTGCCACAAAGCACGAGCCGACCGCCACAGGCAGCGAACAGCAAAACACAAGACAAAAATAAACACATCTACAATACAAACTAGCTATATACGACCACACGGGAGAGGGGAAGCACGACGGCACAAATGCACGCGCACACCTGATCCCAGTCCGCGGCCGACTCGAGAGCCAGGGCGCAGTCCTTCACCGCGCTGCGGTACCTCCCGATCATGATGTGGGCGGCCGCCCGGCTCCAGTAGAGGGGAGCCAGGCGCTTCCGGCCCCCGCCGTCCGCCGCGCCCTCCCCCCGGTTACCATGCTCGTCCCCGTGGAGCTTGATGTGGAACAGGAGGTCCTCGAGGGAGCGGATGGCGGTCGTGTACTCGAGCGCCGCCGCCTCGAAGCTGTGTTTTATGGTACGTACACATGTGTCAAAGGGCGAGTTAGATGCAGGCAAAGGCGTCGCGGTTAGGTCAACGCACGTGTCAAAGGGTTGTTGATATGGTGGCTCGATCGAGAGAGCGAATTGGCCGGTCCGGTTCGCTTTGCAACGGAGCCCATGTAGCACTATCAACAACTGTCCCGTGGGTGTGCATGGGTTCCACCTGTATACTCTTCCAAGTACCAATTGTAGATGGTGATAACTGAGCGGTACGAGTAGTGTTGCATAGGGGAGTTTGGGGAGGGCGGACGGCGGCAGTGGCCAGGAACATCCTGGGTTCGAGTTTTTCGTTTACCGCTGTCTTTTCTTTCTGTTTTGGTCACTGATGCTGCCACAAGCCTTCCCCAACTACATTTCTCTTTAAATGAAGAAACGAAAACAATTTCTACACACTGTTTTGCTTGGTTCTCATGAGTTCTGGGCGAACAGCTATGTAGCGGGTGTGAGCACAATGAAGAGGTGTTGTTCGACATAGGAGACCCATCCGACAGAGATCAGAGACGAACAGACAGGGGGGGGATAGCAGGGGGGGGATAGACTTCAAAAAAAAGGCACGAGGCGAAAAAGAGGTGTATAAAGAAAAAGAAAATGAGGAACAACACCTCTTGGAAGTCGCAGTTGATGTCCCATGATCACGGTCGTGGAGAGAAAGAACAACAAGACGTGGAGGATCAACAAGGAGCCAAAACACCGACATGGCGAGGCGAAACGACCCCCCCCCTCTCCACTGCAACTGCAAATTGACGCGGCGAAGAAGTTTACTGATAAGTGGAGATTGTCTGCCAACGTTCAGAAGAGTGCCGTCATGGTATGCAACGAGAACAAGGAGGAACCAGTAGAACATAGATGGAAGTGGGGGATCGAGGAGATTGCAGTAGTGGACCAGTACACATACCTTGGAGTAGAGATCGCAAAAGACTGCTCGTGGAATGCACACATGTCCAAGGTAGCGGAAAAGGGCAAATCACGAGCAGGGAAGCTGCATCCAATACTCGCAAACCGGCACCTCGATACACGCATCAAATTGACGGTTTTGAAGAGCGTAATCGTACCGCCGCTAGAGTACGCCGGAGAAGTATGGGAAGGAAATAAGAAGGTAGTGAAAGAAGTCGAGGCGGCGCAGATGAAAGCAGCGAAAACCATCCTAGGATGCTCCAGGCGCACAAGTAATGCAGCCGTGAGGGCAGAATTGGGGATCCAATCCCTACGGTCGGGAAGAGACGCGAGGAAGCTGACCTGGCAGTATCGCATGTGCGGGATGGGAGAGGAGAGGTTGCCGAGGATTGTATGGGAGGCGAAGTGGGCAAACAAAAAGAGGGGTAGACAACCCACGGAATGGGTCAAGGTTGTAGAGGACGTATGGAAGGGGCTCGACATCGACGAATACATGTNGCGGGATGGGAGAGGAGAGGTTGCCGAGAATTGTGTGGGAGGCGAAGTGGCCAAACAAAAAGAGGGGTAGACAACCCACGGAATGGGTCAAGGTTGTAGAGGACGTATGGAAGGGGCTCGACATCGACGAAGATGAAACGCTGGAAACGGAGGGTCTACAGGGGTTCAAGGAGAAGATATCTGTTGCTTGTGCCGAGAGAGAAGAACAGAATCTGAGGAAAGAATCCAAGGATAAGGAGGGTCTAGAAGTGTACGGAATGTTGAAGGAAGGAATAGGGTTCAAGGACTACCTACATGGACCAATGGATGCAGGAACAAAGCTTAAGGTCAAATTCAGGACCGGGGACATAGGCCTTCGAGAACGTCGACGAAGACATAGGACGGTAGACGACGAAGACGACGAGTTCAAATGTGATTGCGGCTTCGAATGCGAAGACCGTGTTCATGTAGTCGCGGGATATCCGTTGTACAAGAACGAGGGGGAAGTGTACGTGACTGAGCTGGGAAAAATAGATGGAACGTACAGGGAGATGTTTGAGGCATGGAATAGAG